TCATGTATTGTTGTTGCTAGTTTTAAAAACAGCACAGTTGTCTATGTAGTATAATTACTTATAATCTCCCCTGCTTAAAACAAATTGGAGTAAAGTCTTCTAGGAAGAGGCAAGAGGGTCATGGCAGAGACACTATGAATTTTTTGTGAGGGGTTGGGGGTTGAGGGAGCATTGGAAATGGCATATGTGGCACTGATTTTTGGTCCTTGATGAGAGTGAGGGAGGGGATGGCTCATAGTCTGGTGAAAGAGGATGGACAAGTCATTACAAGTCAATGGAAAGAGCAAGGTGCTCTTGGCAACATGCAGGAACAGAGTGGAGAACCAACGTGGGTATTCCACACGTGGAGAAGAACATGGAAAGTGTGCTGAGCAGGACTAGTGTCTCTAAAGTGCCCCTAACATCCCATGCTTTCAAGTACAGTCACATGACACTGTTTTATATCCTAGCTTTGATGGTAGCATTTTTTTAGCTTTTATGAAAATAACACTGTGAAGGAAGGAAACGAATTTAGGGACTTTGACAGGATTGTTCTTTTTAAATTGCTTTCTCATTTTTGTTGCTATTAGCATCTACAATGCAGGAAAACCCAATTAAAATAGTAATATTTTTAAAAAATTTATACAAAATGTTCAACCATACATAAAAGTGGAGAACAAAATACAATAAACCCCTGAATTGTCTCGTCTTAACCTCCCCATCACACACAACACAATTTTTGTTTGGCTTTGCTCAAATAGTTTAAAGCAAATTCTAGGCATCATTTCATTTCATCCCTAAATGTTACAGTAGGTATCTCTATCAAAGAATAATTTTTTAAAAAACATAACCACAATGCCATTTTCATGTGATACAATACCCAGAACAAACCAAATTTTCCTAAATAGCTCCAATAATAATTTTATAGTTGTTTCATTCAAATCAGGATCCAAATAAGATCTACACATCATATTTAATTGAAAGTCTCTTTTGCTCTGTAAATTCTTCTCCCCGCCCTGTTTTTATGCCATTTACTTGAGGAAGGGGAGAAATGAGTCATTGTCCTGTACGATATCCTACATTCTGGATTTGGCTGATTGTTTCCTCCTAGTATCATTCAACTTGTTCTTGTATTTACTGTAAACTGGGTTAGATTCTTGTTAAAATTTTTTTTTGGCTAGAAAACTTCACAGATGCCTTGTATTTTCTGATGTATTACATCATGAGGTGCATGGTGTCTGACTGCCCTACTTTTAGAGATGTAAAAACTGATCAGTGGGTTCGGGTGTTATCAGCATGGTCCATCCAAAGGTTCCCTGTCAACCTTTCACCTAATAGTTATTGATGGTGGTTGCCTGGATTCTTTATTTCATTAGGTGTTCCAGTGTGGTGGTTTTTCTAACTCTATCATCCCTTCTGTCTTTATTAGCTGGAATTCTTCTATAAAGAACCCCTTATTATCTCTTTGGTTGCTCTGAAATACAGTTCATACCAGAAAGGCAGGAGAAGTGCTTGGTTGTCTCCCTTTACCCACTCTTAATTCAATTTAATCCATTGTAGGCATTGTTTTCCAATGCTCAAATTGTCTCCTCCTTGTCCAGTGAAGTCTCCTCAAGTCAGCTTCTGTGTCATCTTGACTTGACCCTAGCAGGACTCGATACCTCCCTTGCTTTTGAGAACAAGTGTCTACAGATTATTTATTTATTTTTTATTTTAGATTTTATTTATTTGAGAGAGAGTGAGAGAAGAGTGTGTGCGCGTGTGAGCGGGGGAGGGACAGAGGGAGAGGGAGAAGCAAACTCCCTTCTGAGCAGGGAGCCCGATGTGGGACTTGATCTCATGACCCTGGGATCATGACCCGAGCTGAAGGCAGATGCCTAACTGACTGAGCCACCCAGGCGCCCCTCTACAGCTTCTTTCTGATGAATTCACTAGACTTAGGAAAATCCTTATACCCCTATCCCCACTACCTTTTTTTTGCCCATCCATGACAAGTAATGGTTTATACTGGTTGTATCAGTCAGGAAGGCTTTCAGCTATAAGGAAGCATAATGAACAAATAGAATTTTCAATTTTTTCACAGAACACAAAGTCCGGAGCAGGCAGCTGTTAGCATTTGTTCAGCAGCTCATGGGGTCCGGAGCCAGCATAGCTGTGATTCTCTTGGCCTCTCCTTCCTGGTTGCAAAATGGCAGCTCCTATTCCAGGCATCATGCCCAACTGGGGCAGGAAGAAAGGGGACGGCCAGAGCCAGCTGCAGCTGTCCCTTTCTATCAGAAAAGCAAAAGCGTTCCCCAAACTACCACTCCACCCCCATCCCACTCAGCTGAATTCTACCCAGATCTTATTGGCCAGACTGGATTAGATGGACACCCCTACTTGCGAGGAAGGCCAGGAAAGTGATCGCTTAGTTTTGCTGGGTTCTATAGTCCAAGCAAGCAAGGGAGTAGGGGCTGGGAGTGAACATAGGGCTACTAGTTCTGGGAGAGTAGTCTCGAGTCCTGAATCAATATTCCCTATCCTGGTTTTTTAATTTTTTTTTAATTTAAAAGATTTTGAGAGAGGGCATGCGTGCATGCAAGTGGGGGGAGGGGCAGAAGGAGAGAATCTTTAAGTGTACTCCCAGGATCCATGAGATCTTGACCTGAGCTGAGATCAAGAATCCGATGCTAATCTGACTGAGCCACTCAAGCGCCCCTATTTTTTTTTTCTTTTTTACATAATGTCTAATATTCCTTGATTTTGAAGCAGGGTGGGACAGTTCAAAGAATTGTGAGCTGGAAATGAGTAAAGCTTTATTTGTAAGGCTGCTCTAAGGAAATGATATCAGCTGTTTTGACATCCGTGCCCTGATGGCTCGGCTCAGCTCTGTTCAGTTATCAGATGCCAACTCCCACTGTAGGATCTGTGTGGCCAAGTGTCCCATCTCCTGTCTGCACGGGGACAGAGCAGTCTCACTTTCATCATGACAGACACCTCCGTTGAGCTGTAGTGATCCATATGACGCCAGAATACCTTGTGGCTACAGGTTCACAGAAGCCATTCAATCTTCGCACTGTTCTGGAGAAGAGAAGGGCTAACATGCAGCCAGCACTCACTGACACCAACACACGAGCTTATTCTGCACTGACTCCCTGGAGCCTCACAGTCCTGTAGCCTTGGCCGTCCTGGCTCCTCTCTGAGGAGCCCACCCCACCTGTCCATGACCTCCTAACAATCCAGCAACTGAAAGCCAAGGCCTGGCCTAACAGGGGTCCTAAGACACTACTCCCACCAGCACTAGGGCCATCCATTCTGTGTCCACACATTTAGAGGTAATTTAAAAATATTTTTACTATCTTCCACAAGAAAAACATTGTTACTATTCCCACTGGTCATTTTTCTGGACTGTCCATGGCTGAAGGCAAATGATAACTAATTCAAGGAATGGAAGTGGATAATTCCATCACTGACAATCTTGATTTCCTCGAGGCTAATGAGTCTCATATTAGAAAACCTGAGTTGTTCTGATACTAGTTTTATTTTTTCTTTAATATTCATGATGCAAGCAAAAGAAGCCAGACACAAAAGAACACACTCTATATGATTCCATTTATAGGAAGTTGAAGAAGAGGCAAGACTATAAGAAGTCAAAAGTGGTTACCCTTGGGGGGAAGCACGGATAGGGAACGGGCACAAGAAGGTCTCTGGGGTGCTGGTTTTGTCCTTTTTCATGATCTAGGTATAGAAACTGCTGGCCACTAACCCAGTGTCTATCTTCTCCTTTCTCCTTTCTGTCAGAATCTGATCTCCTTGTTGGGGTGGAGGTGGCAGGTGAGGAGCTGAACACCACATTTCCCAGCCTCCTTTGGAACTAGGGCTGGCCATATGACATACTTAGGGCCAATGGGATGCATGTGAAAATCCATGGGACTTCCAGGGAATCTCCTTCAGGCAGATAGGCTCAGAAATCTCCCTGAGTGTACTGAAGGGTATACTGCCATCAGCCTCAGACATCCTAACTGTCCATTCATGCACTCTTATGTAAAATTCCCCCATGTCACTGGTTCTGTGGTTTGGTTCACTTATTCAACAAATGCTGAATGAGCACTTGGGCTCATTAAGTTGGGCATGTGCTGATCAGGTGTTACAGATTCAGATGTCCCAGGGCCAGGCCTGTAATTAGAGATGTAGGCCTGCGCTGAAGCACCAGAACAGATGAAGGAGGACCTAGGCCCTGGCTAATAAGGAGGATGGGGAAAGCCATTGCTTAGCTCTAACAGTTGGTTTGACATGTGAAAAATTCAAATCTCAAGTTGTAATATCTTCCCATTTTTCAAGAGGGCCAGAAATCTTGATTTTATTTTTAAAATTAACTCTGCCATGAGGCTGGACTTCTAGCTATGGTAGAGTAAAATTGGACTAAGTTGGTATATTAGTTTTCTATTGCTATGTAACAGATTATCACAAACTTAACAGCCCAATCAACATATATTTGCTAACTCACAGTTCTTGTAGATCAGAAGTACAGGCAGACTCAACAGGGCTTTCTGCTCAGTGTCTTACAAGGCTCAAATCAAGGTGTTAGCTGGACCCAGGCTCTTAACTAGAGGCTTTGGAAAAGAATCCACTTCCAAGCTCATTGAGGCTGAAGTCATCACATTATGCCACATGAACATATATAAGAAGATCAAATGCAGCAGCATGTAACAATGACCTAAGTGGAATTTATCTTGGGGATGCAAGGTTGATTTAGCATCTGAAAATTATTTAATGCAATGTGTCATATTAATGTAATAGACAAAATCTACACAGTCAATGCATGCAGAGAAAGCATTTGACAAAATCCAACACTCATTCATGATGAAACTCTCAACAAACTCTGAATATAAGGGAATTTCTTCAAACAGATAAAAAGCACCTAAGAAAAATCTATAGCAAATATCATACTTAATAATGGAAAACTAAATGAGTTTTTGAGAACAAAGCAAGAATATCTACTTTCACCACTTTTTTAAAAAAGATTTTATTTTTATGTACTCTCTATACCCAATGTGGGGCTCAAACTTACAAACCTGAGATCAAGAGTCGCATGCTCTACTGATGGAGCCAGGCAACCTGAAGAACTAACCACTTCTATTCAATATCATATGGTAAGTTATAGGCTGTCAAGAAGATAAGAAAAAGAAATTAAAGGCATTCAGACTGGAAAAGAAGAAATAAAACTGTCTTTATTTGCAGATGATATGATCCTGCTTCTGGAAAATACTAGTGAATCTGAAAACACCAACTAGAACTAACAAGTGAGAATGTTGAAGGATATAAAAATCAACATTTCTATACTCTGATAATGAACAACCTAGAAATAAAGAAAATAATGCAATTCATAATAGCACTAAAAAGTGCTATTTTGTTACCCTTAGAAATACACATCTTTTGTTACCTAAATTACCCTTAGAAATAAGGGTAAAAAAAGATGTGTAACACCTAAAAACTACGAAACATTGCTGACAGAAATTTTAAAAGATCTAAATAAATGGGGAGATATACCATGTTCATGAACTGTTAAGACCCATTATTGTTAAGATGGCAATTCTCCCTAAATTGATCTGTACATACAACACAACTCCAATAAAAATCCCATTCCAAAAAAACTGTTTTGGTAGAAATTGACAAGCTGCTCCTAAAGTTTACATGGCATTGCAACATACCTAGAATAGCAAAACAATTTTGAAAAAGAGCAACATAGTTGGAGGACTTATTCTGCCCATTTAAAAAACTTAATGTAGTCAAAGACCAGGTCACAGTGGTGTAAGGATAGACATATAGATCAGTAGAAATGAATAGGAAGTCCAGAAAATCCTTACATTATGGTAAATAGATTTTCAATGAAGGTGACAAGGCAATTCAATTGGGAAATGATACTCTTTGACAAATGGTTCAGGGGCAATTGACTATCCATATGCAATAAATGAATTAATTGATAAAATATGTAGACACTTACTTTACATCATGTAGAACAATTAATTCAAATTGGATTATAGACAAAATTGTCAAATTGAACTATAAACTTGAAAAAAAACACAGGAGAAAAATCGTTTGATTTTGGCTTAGGCAAAAATTTCTTAGATATGACATCCAAAACATGATTCATAAAAACGAAAAATTTGATAAATTGGAATTCATCAAAATGCAAAACTTTGGCACATTTAAAGATATTAAAAATATGAGAAGACAAACCACAGTCTGGGAGAAAATATTTGCAACTCATATATCTAATTAACGGCTTGTATCTGAAATATGTAAAAAATTCTTAAAACTCATTAAGACAAACAACCCAATTAAAAATGGGCAAAAGATTCGAATAGATCTTTCACCAAAGAAGATATATGAATGACTAGAAAGCACATGAAAATATGATCAACATTGTTGGTCATCAGAGAAATGCAAATTAAAATCATAGTGAGATACCTCTACACTTTTATTAGAATAGTGATAACCTAAAGGTCAAATAATGTCAAGTGTTGCCAAGGATGTGGAGAAACTAGAGCCCTCATATATTGATGATGGGAATATAAAATAGTAAGTCACTTTAGAAAATAATTTGTCACTTCCTTAAAATGTTAAAGAGTTATGACATGACCCAATAATTCGACCCAGAAATATACCCAAGAAAAATGAAAACATGTCCCCCTTTAGAGTTTATATAATTATGTATGGCAGCATTATCCACAATAGCAAAAATGTGGAAATAAAGTGTAGTTTATCTATATAATGGAATACTATTCAGCAATATAAAGGAATGAACTGATACAACTACATGAACTACAAGATGGATAAATCTTATGCTAAGTGAAAAAAGCCTGACACCACAGACTACACATTGTATAATTCTATTTATATAACATTTCTAGAAAGGTAAACCTACAGAGATAGAAAACAAATTACTGGTCGCTGAGGACTTGAAATTGGAGTGTGAATGACTGCATATACACATGAGAAGACTTTTTGGGAGAGATGGAAATATTTTAAAAGTGGATTAAGGTGATGGCTGCACAACTTTGTAAATTTACTAAAAATCACTGAATTACCATGTATTCTGGGTGAACTTTACAATATGCAAATCAGACCTCAATAAAGTGATTAAACATAAAAATTAAATCTCCCAATTTTAAAATGCTCACAACTAGTTCAAATTCTTAAAAGATCTTTGTGAAAAAAAAATACCCCAAGTCTGCAGTGATACCCAAAGTCTGTAGTATAAGTCCTTGGGCCGCCCTCTTGAAACGTCAGGGCCAAGTGGCATGAATAGAATTTTAAATGAAATAAAATCCTTGTTTTCTATGAGTTGAAGAGCCAAAGGCAGAAAATGGGAAAGTAAACAATTACAACAGCCAATGATAAATGCTCTAAGTGGGTTGCGCAGGGAGGTATGGGTCCAGATAGTCTTTGGCTCTGACTGGGTGCGGGCTGGGGCACCATAGAAGAGGTTGGACACTGCAGTTAGGTTCTGAAGCATAGGCAGGAATTCAGGAGATTGCAAGTGTGGGAAGTGGGGGGAAGAGGGGCATTTCCAGGCAGAGGGAACAGAATCGGCAAAGTCTTGAAGATGTGAAAAAGCAGTTCCGTTTGAGAACAGGGAAGGCTGGAGATGTGGCACACATGGAGAATAGAAAAAGCAGGAAAGGAAGGTGGGGACCACATTATGAAGGGTTTGGCAGGCCATGTTAAAGCTTTTGGACATGGGATTAAGTAGGAGTTTACTTGCCGGAGAACATGGGCATGCTTCTTTAGGCCTAAATTAAACTTTGTAAATCTTGGCAACATCATATTGTACTCATTTAAACATACTCATTAATATACCACTTACTGTGTCCCAGGCACTGTTTTAATACTTCAAATAAACTCACTTAATCCCATCAACAGTGGTTCTCAAACTCTAACTTGCATGAGAATCACCACAGTTTTTGATTTAGTACATCTGGAACGGAGCCTGAGAATTTGCATTTTGATTCAGTTCCCAGAAGAAGCTGATACTGCTGGTCGAGGGAGCACACTTTGAGAACCATTGCTTTACAGCAAGTTTACCAGTGGCTTTATACCAACTTTATAAGAAAGGCATCATTATCACTGCCATCCCAGTGTTATAGAGGAGAAAACAGTTAAGCAACCTGCCCAAAGCCATATAGCATTAAGTGTTGGGGCTGGGATTCAATGCCAGGCAATGACAGGCATATCTCCTAGGTCACAGGCTGCAAACAGAGTTAAGGGCTGGCATTTTCAATCTTTGTTTGCAACTATCAAAAATATATTACACACACACACACACACACACACACACACAGGTTGGCCTTAACTGACATCTGAGATACAAAAGTGAAACGTGCTAACTGATGCCAAGGGGGTGGTAAGGGAAAGTCTTTCAGGAACTCTGTGGGCCATTCCAATGAAGTATTATTTTGGTCCTACTGGGATGAAGCCAGGATTTAGAAATGCACGAGTATCAATGTATAAAATGACTAATTAAATATGTAAATGAAAATCTTTACCATGTCACACCTTGAAACTGAACTGTAGATGAGTACTCAATATCTATTGCTTTAAATATATTTATTTTACATTTTTTACAAATTATGAAAACTAACAATATCTGGAGAAGACAATATGATGCTTTTTGTGTGTATGTGTGTGGGGGGAGGGTGTCCCAAGATGAAAATTGCAATTCTTTCAAGAATCTGATTGCTTTTCACATCTTGAACTAATTCGTAGCATCTCCCTGGTTGCCTTCCAATAAACAACTTCTTTAAATTGGTGGCATTATGTTATGTTTCAGATCTGAATCACAGAGACTGTAATACAAACCTGCATGCTCCATCTTGTCGTTTTGTAGAGTGCTGTATATCTAATTAAAGCTTATGGGTCCATAAAAAGACTAAACATTAAAAAAGCAGTCTGTGTTGGAGAAAGCCCCAGGGCAGTTTGGAGGAGGGGTTTCTTCATTAACAATAAACATATTTGCTTAAATTCAAAGTTAAGTAATAATATATTAATTTGCACTTGAATATTCTTAAATATTGCCTAAGCATAATCAGATCATGTTACCACATTTATGGTGTGGAACTGAAAATGGGTCATGTTCTTGCCAGCAGCACTCTAGCTTCCGAAGAAACACGGGGGATGAATAAATGATTTACCATGTGGCCAGTACCAACTGTATCCCTGATGTTATTCGAATCAATTTAATATTCTGTTCCTTTTCATTTATTGTTTTGCTATTCATATGTCCTTGTTACCCTTATAGATTTTAGTCAAAACCTGAGTCACATGGCAACAATATAAATACTCTTTTCCAAGGGCTTATCTATTATGGCTGTTGTTTTGTGGTTACTGTTACATCTCAGGGGCCATAAGCCTGGTGGCAGAGGCTATCAACCACTGGAATTCCCTTGGGAGACCATTAGAGTAGTATTTTTTTCCCCTTTACTGGGTTCCCTAAATAGTGATACCTCCCTGAGGGGAAAAGTGCATAGTCTTCCAACTTCCCAGTAATAAAGGACCGAATTCCACAAAGGAGCTACTGCTTAACATATGGCTAGAGTTAGAATGCCAGCATCAAAGTGAGATTTTTCTTTTATGGTCTTCCTAAATCAGAGTGATCCCAGAGCTGGGGCTTTGACTCATCCTTAAAGGGTAGAGGCCCAGCCTGAGGCCTAGAGCCTAAGGCTTTCTCCAGTCAATGATCCATCACCCCATGCTAGAGCATTAGGGTAACTGGGAGTCCCCCTATAATAGAAAACCTTATGTTATCACCCTGAGGGTTTGCGCCCCCCCCACCCCAGCAATCCACTCTTACTTTTCAACATCTTCAGACATGTAAAATTGATGCTGTGGAGAAAGTCTGAAAAAACAAAAACAAAAACCTGACATTTGCAGGTCAACAAAGACATTTGCTAAAGCCATCTAGATTTCTCTTCTGCACCCAATCAATTTAATCAAATTTGGAGCATCTAAGCAGCTTTTATTTGTATATTTACTTTTTCTTGTGTCCTTCTTCACTAGGCGTCTTTTATTGGAAGGGTGGAAAGAAAGGAGAAACAGAAAGGGAAAAGCAGGTTGGAGAAACCCGGCACCTGGCTTGTTGGCTCTCCCTTTTAGTAACCTCAGAGAGCTGATTAGGCATTGCAAGACAAGCTTTCAAAGGTGGGAGTCAGTCCCCTACCCCACCCCCCCGCCTCCAGCACCCCTCTCTGGCTTTGGTTAAGCTCCCTTCCCGAGTCAGCTGGCCTGGTGACCAGGCCGCTGAACCATCTAGTTAACCACGGTTAAGGTCTGCTGTTTTGAATCCCGGACTTCATATGCTTTAATACCTTCCACGACCTTTTGCTTTTCCAGGCGGTTTCCAGTGGAGGCAGCTAACTGATGGGGCCTGCTAGTGTCTCCCGTAGACCTTTAAAGCCAGCGCTGCATTCAGATGGTGGGCGTTTCTCCTTTTGTTTAAATAGCAACAAAATCAACAAAATTCCTTCAAATTGGGTTTCCAAGAAATAAAACTGTAGAGAAAAAGAACATATTCATATGCGTATATATATACATATGAATGTATATTTAATTTTTTCCCTCCCCTTGCTTAAACTTGGGCGGGAAATGCGGCGAACCTTTAAAAGGGTAAAGTGCGTGCTGCCCTCAGTCCCCCGCTTCAGGACGCAGTCGGCGCGCACGCTGTCCCTTCCCTCCGATTTCTCCCGACAGCTCGCGCTACTTTTCTCAGCCATTGTCCCATATCCCCGGTGCTTCCTCCTTCACCATCCCCTCTCCTCGGGCGCCTCGCCTGCTTCCTACCGCCAGCCAAAGCCCAGACTCGCTGAGGTGAGACGCCGCCAGGATGCCCTCCAGCAGCCCGCGCGCTGGAACCCGCAGGTGCTGTCGGCCCCGCCCTTCCCGTGGCCCCGCCCCGGCGTTGCGTCACAGTGACGCGCGTGCCGCGCAGGCGCAGCTCGGCCCCACCCCCTCCCCGCGGCCGGCCGCCCGCTCGGTATTATGATTAGCGCTGGGTGCGGGGATTCGGCGGCCGGGAGGGAGTCGTCGGCGCCGCGGCCGCTGCGGACGGACGCTTGCCTGCCGGCTGAGGTAGGGACGAGCGCGGAGCGCGGCTGGGCGCGGCGGCCGTGG